TAACTCTTCTGAAGTTAACCCTTCTGTACTGTTGGGGATGTTTTCATCCACTCTGTTCACGTGGGTTTTCTCCCAGTGCTCTGGTTTCCCCCACAAGTCCAAAGACATGTGGTATAGGGGAATTGGGTAGGCTAAATTGGCCGTAGTGTATATGTGTGAATGAGTGTGTATGGGTGTTTCTGAGTGATGGGTTGCAGCTGGAAGGGCATCCGCAGCGTGATAAATATGCTGTATAAGTTAGTGGTTTATTCCACTGTGGCAACCCCGGATTAATAAAGGGACTAAGCCAAAAATGAATGAATGAATGTAATCAATACAGTCTTCATCTGTTTCCCAGAGATCATCATCACTGCAGTAAATCAGGCTCACTCACACTAAACAACCAGACTCTTTTATTTTGACCGTATTTTTTCTTCTCGTTCTCGCTTCTTGTTCCCGCAGGCAATAACAAAAGTGGTTTACACAAATATCGTAATTCAGCTCCTGCAGACGAGATCTTTCCACAAAGCACAAAAACACTGAAATGAAGCAGATGCATGAGTTTACAATCAACACCACGTCCAGGCAAAGCTCTGCGTTTCTGACCACTGCTGAAGTCTCATGGACAGCCAACTGAGCATCTTCAGCTTTTCACTGCTGCGTTTCCAATGTTTCCAATGTTTAGAAAGCAGAGGGCCGTTCACACATCACGTCATTTGATCGTGAAAGTTTGGTGTGCAGTTTCATGTTTTCCAGGTACACATAGTTGAAAACAACGTAACTTTTCAGAATGTCGCAAGCACAGCAGGACATGTGACGTGAACATAGCTGCCAACATTTGTCTCTGAAATTCTGGATGACAGGGGGGATGGGGGGTGTTTCAGGCGCCCAATACGATCAGACACTATACCAAAATTGGCGGGGGTGTTACAGACCGTAGCAAAAAAGCTAAGGACCAGGGACGGGGTGAAATAACAGTTTCCCGAAAGAAATAACAAAACGGGAGGGTGGTGGGAGATGGGTCTGAAATACGGGAGACTCACGGGAAAAACAGAAGTATTGGCAGGTATAGACATGAACCAACTAATTAGGGTTCAGTACCAATTGGAAAAGCACAGCAGTGTTTGGATGCACTGTGTTTGTCTGAGGTATTTAGTCTACAAACACAGTATGAAGCTGTTTGGTTGTAGTGTTGTTATGATAATCATGGAATTTGGTACCAATCGATACTGAGATTTTAAAACGTCCATTTCCTGTGAACATTTGAGCGTGTTCTTAAACAAAGCTGATTTGCCATTGTGCTCAACAGAAATCAGGGGCGCAACTGCACATTTACTGATGGGTATGCGGCTTCAACTTTTCCGCGCCCCCCCCTTCAATCCAACTATATTTTAAAACAGGCAAGTGATAAAATGTGGAAAATATTTCCATCAATAAATTAAAGATATTTTTTCATAAAGATATCAATATGCTTCAAAAAATACAGTTTCGCAGTTCTGAACACACCTGAAATAGTATGAATTAGTAAAAGGTATAATTACATTAAGCATGTTAAGTCGCAAAGAAATGCCTCTCATACCTCCCCAAATTTCTTCTCAATTTAATTTTCCCTCACTAAATGATTATAGCACCTTGACTAGCCTTGCTTTTGGACTTTTCGTACTACATTTGTCAAAACAAAATGATAGACATGGGAGTCCTAAAGGGCAAAAGAACATTGTGATTACTTCTCACATGTATAAAGTGAGAAGTGTAAGGTCTGTCTTTGCCAGAACAATTGACTGAAACTGCTAAAAGTGAAATAAAAAAAGACTGTCAAATGTTTAGTGTAAAAAAAACAGTAACAAACTGTGTGAAATGTTCTATTTAATTGAAATTTTATAACTTTGTTTGTAGCTAAAATTAAAATAGTTTTGAGCTAAGAAGTTACCAAAAGGCCTGATGAGTCAATATGATACATAATAAATTCATAAAAACATGTATATGGTATGAAAAATGGGGGGGAGGGGTGGAATGATTTTTTAATTTAATAAAATACAATATTATAAGCGTATAAAATGCTAAATAAACATTTTTAACAATATATATATATTATTATTATTATTAATATTATATATTTATATATATATATATATATATATATATATATATATATATATATATATATATATAATTTGAAACTTTTAATATGGATAATTTCAAAAATAGTTGTGGCACAATGGCGCCCCCCATGTGTGACGCCCCTATGCGCCGCATATACTGCATACCCCCTTTTTGCGCCACTGACAGAAATGACTGTGATTGGCCGTAAAGGTCATCAGTTCATCGAACTCACCGCTGTTTACTGAGTGTAACCACAGGTACAGGGACACCGCTGGAGGAGAAAAGTGGTCAGTGGACGACGGCAGAAGTTACCTGCCTTCCTGCCCTGTTGTCCTATTGTCCAGCAACAAAAGATGCCAAAGCATGTTGGAAGTTGTGAAGGAACTTCATGCTTTTCACACACTTTTAGACGCGACGTGTGAACAGCTCCTTAGAGCTTCAAAACACCGCATTCCATTTTAGTTTCCATGGTGACATGGAGCTTTTGAAATTCTGGAAGTAACATTCTAAACTTTGAACATTCTAAATCCCTCATGTGGAACAGAACTCCAGGACACACAGAAACAGCAACATCAATATTAATAATAATAAAAATCTCATCTTTTCAATGCAAAATGAATAGGAATGTTAGCAGCATTTAAACAGACTCTACAAAACTGACACACAAGTTTGGCTTCTGATTGGTCAATCCAGGTGTGACACACCTGCGTAATTATCACTGTGCATTTATGCGTACTCTGCTGCACAGCGGTGCCATTATATTATATTATACAATGAATCTTCAAGATCCTCAAGCAGAATGATGGCACTTGACACTACAATACAGTTTCAATCTTTCATTTTTTTAGTGAAGGTTGTTTACACTACCTTACAAAAGTCTTGTGGTGGATCCCAGTTGTAAAAGCAACAAATCTTAACTTGACTTCTAGTTGATCATTTGGGAAAGAGTCAGAAGGGGGATTTGTCTGTTAAATCATCTGTTGAACTGAATCCCAATCATCACCAGTACTGCAGAACACCAGCATGGAGCCAAGATTCACACAGAAATCAGCCAATTTTGGTGAAGGAAAAGTCACGGTTTGGGGTTATATTCAGTATGGGGGCGTGCGAGAGATCTGCAACATCAACAGTCTGAGGTGTCAAGACATTAGTGCTGCCCATTACATTACAAACCACAGGAGAGGGACAATTCTCCAGCAGGATAGCGCTCCTTCTCATACTTCAGCCTCCACATCAAAGCTCCTGGAAGCAAAGAAGGTCAAGGTAATCCAGGATTGGCCAGCCCAGTCACCAGACATGAACATTATTGAGTAAATCTGGGGTAAGCTGAAGGAGGAGGCATTAACGATAATTCGAAGGATCTTGATAAACTCTGGGAGTCCTGCAAGAACGCTTTCTTTGCCGTTCCAGATGACTTTATTAATCAGTGATTAGCAAAGATGTATGGATGCAGTCCTCCAAGCTCATGATGGAGTCAGACACAATATTCATTCTGTCTCCACTGCAGCAGGACTTTATATTCTATACTGGACATTATTTCTGTTCAGTGATGAGACTTTAGTCTAAGCAGAGTCAGACCTTACTGTCCTAATAAAATCATTCAAAATCAAGGCATGACCATATTTTATTGTGCTCAAATAAGCGTAATTTGGAGGCCTTTGCCTTTCATATAAGCCACTTCTGATACCAAATGCTCAACTAGAAAGCAAGTTATTATTTGTGTTTCTAAAACTTGGAAAAGCGACAAGACTTTTGTCAGGTAGTGTATATTGTGAATTGCATCTGTTAGTATATGAATACCATCACTCTATATTCATGAGTAAATTGTCCATCATGAACATCAGTTCTTACTGTTTTCACGCGGATACAGAATGATTAAGGGTCGTTTTTCATTGGTGTTCAGAAGTCTTGAGCTTCTCAACAATCACAAGGGAAACCTAAAAACATTCTGAAGCTCATTCGTTGTGTTTTTTTGTCTCTTTCCATTGCATTGTGGGTAGTCTGTAAGAATGGCACTCCAGTGATGTGTATACATGGACATACAGCGAGTAAACAGCTGACTTTACACACCCTACAGCTCCCGATGCTTGAATTTGACACTTTTATTAAAGCATCCGTTCATGATATCAATCCACATGAAAAGTTCTGGAGCAGAGCGGGAGATGAGTTATAAATTACACACGTTTGGCTTCTTCTGTCAGTGGTGAGAGAAAGGCAAGTGGATTATGGACGGCTCTGTAAGATGAACATTTAAAACCAGCAGTTTTTCCTCCTGAGTGGGTACAAAATCAAGTGTTTTTCCCCTTTCCAGACCCTTTGCTCTCTCTGAACCCCTCTGGTGGACCACTGTAATTCCCTTTAGATAATTGTAATGTAAATATAATCGGTATTTTCACCAAAACCAGGTTGTTCAGATGATCTGAGGAGTATTTTCAATTTACAAACTGTGATTTGAATTTACGAATAGGATTTGCATATTTACAAATTGCGTTTTGAATTCATGAATTAAATATCATAAATGTGAATTAAATTGTGTATGAATTTTATTTTGTAAATGAATTTTTTTTTGAGACTGATCTGGCTCTATACTATTGTAAGTCACTTTGGACAGAAGTGTCCGCTGAATGACTACGGCTGCGCCCGAAACCGCATACTTCCATATTATATAGTACGCTAAAATTAGTATGCGAGCCGAATTCATAGAATTCGAAAATCAGTATGCAAGAAGTACCCGGATGACTAACTACTTCCGGCGAGATTCTGAAGTGCGCATCCCATGCACGCTGTGCTATCCCATAATGCCCCGTGAGAGAATTCATGAATGGAAGTGAGGCGACGCAACTGACGCAGGTAGGTCACGTGACCATGACAAAATGGCGGATGTAGTACGTCCGAATTCCATTCATACTTTTCAAATTCATACTTATAGAACGCACTTTTCTAACGGCCGAGTAGTACGTTTAAATTCAAATGCAGTACCTACTGAGTAGTAGGCGGTTTCGGACGCACCCTAAATGTAAATGTTTAGATCAACATCTCACCCCCGAAGTCTTTCTGGTAATATGCGACTGCCGCATGTGTAAAATCTCCCTCCTCAAACGTTGGTTTCCTCCAGCACTGCAGCGGAGCCTTCATTGTTGAGCGGCCGCTCCTCCAGGCAGATATCCTCTGTTAGGGAGCTGCAGTTACTGGCGCCCTCCTGTGTCTGAGAGGTGAACTGCAGTCTGGCACGTCCACGGCTACGGCTCAGGCCGTTCTGCAGACCCGTCACCAGCCGCTGGGACTCCAGAGAAGATGAGGTGTCGGGGCAGTCGTGGGCAGCCGGCGGTGCTGTGCTGCTCTTGGCGTGAGGCGTCTGGCTGTGTGTGTGACGATACTCCTCATCAATGTCCTTGCCTAGTTTCCATCTCTTCCACTTCTTCAGCATCTCGCTCTGCACCTACACACACATGACAGAACCAATAGACCCTTTTCACATGACGCATTTAACATTCATCATACTTGAACGTTTTTAATATTTCGATTTTTGTTTCAACCAATGAACATTTATATGTATTTATGTGTGTATTATACAGTATTGGGCAAGCTACTTGAAAAATGAGCTAGAGTAGTGAGCTGAGCTATTAGCTACTCTACTTAAAATGTAGCTTAGCTACACTAAAAGCTGCCCTCTGGGAAATGTAGCAAGCTAAGAGCTACTTGGCAAAAGTAGCTTAACTACATCTAAGCTATTTTTGCAATTTTTATTTTTAAATCGTAGCAACTTAAATCCAAATCAATCACATCTTAGTGATCAATAAAACTGCCAATGAAACATATGAGGCATAATAGTTCCTTTATTTACTGTAAATAATATGCTGTACTAAACAGAAACACATTATAGTATATAACAGCTAAAACAAAAAATCCAATAAAAGCAGGTGTTACTCATTTAAAATACTATAGTGATTTATAGTAAAGAGAAATATTTTGACATAAGCATTATGCATGTTCAGACATCCCAAGTCTCCCGGAAGTTGTGGGAGTATCCCTGAAATGCTAGACACTCCCGGATGCCTGCAAATGAATGATAATCTCCCGGAAATCACGCGTCTCCTGCCTGGTCCTTAAATATGTTGCACACCCTTCTCTCCACTGCATCCCTACTAACTCTTAAGGTACGTCGCACGCAACTCACCCCCACCGCTCTTCAAGTACGTCTCGCGCGCACACGCCCCCCTTCACAGATACGTCACTCACTACCAACACCCCCCCCCCCCTCTTAGAGCACTCACTAATCCGCTACCTCCCGCAAATCAACTCTGTATTTTCTGACTTTTTCAAACTTGGAATGTCTGCATATTGTATATTTATTTAGAAATCTTCATTTATAAATTACACTACATATTGCAGTCATTTATAGTGGTACTTATAAATTACTAAAGTAATTTGGAGCACAGCATCAGAAATTAAGTTATTGCATCTTAACATGCACTTCTCGAGGTATGGCCATGAGGAATTCTGCATCAGAAATTACTCCTCTCCCTCAGTTATCTTTCCATCAAGCAAGTGTTCTCGTGTTAGCCTAATTTGGTTGGCGACGTCACCAACCAGAGGGGGCAGTAATGCACCAAAACGTTTCCTGTCAACCACCTTAAAACAGGAAGAAAAAGAAACTCTCATTCTAGCTATCATATGGATTTACTGTAATCGCCTAGACAACGGCCTTACAGCTTTGTGAATGTCTGTGCCGTCACTTACATTTAGTCATTTAGCAGACGCTTTTATCCAAAGCGACTTACAAATGAGGACAAGGAAGCAATTTACACAACTATAAGAGCAACAATGAATAAGTGCTGTAGGCAAGTTTCAGGTGTGTAAAGTCTAAGAAGGAAAGCATTAGTAATTTTTTTTTTTTGAGTACAGTTAGTGGTATATCCAGAGAGGCAATTGCAGATTAGGAAGTGAAGTGGAGACTAAATAGTTGAGTTTTTAGTCGTTTCTTGAAGACAGCGAGTGACTCTGCCGTTCTGATGCAGTTAGGGAGTTCATTCCACCAACTGGGCAGATTAAACGCGAGCGTTCGGGAAAGTGATTTCTTCCCTCTTTGGGATGGAACCACAAGGCGACGTTCATTCACAGAATGCAAGTTTCTGGAGGGCACATACATCTGCAGAAGTGAGAGCAGATAAGAAGGGGTGCAGCCAGAAATCGCTCTGTAAGCAAACATCAGAGCTTTGAATTTGATGCGAGCAGCAACTGGCAGCCAGTGCAAACGGATGAGCAGCGGAGTGACATGTGCTCTTATAGGTTCATTAAATTTATTCATCGGGGATTGGTAAATGTAGCTTTGTGGACGCTACTGCGCTACTTGACTAATAAAATAGCTTTGCTACTGAAAAGCTATTTGATTTAGAAAGTAGTGACGCTACCGCCACGCTACTGAGAAATGTAGCTAAGCTAGTAGCCGCTACTGCCCAACACTGGTATTATATCACCTTTGCATCAAATGACTAATTACCACTTGTGCAAGGTGTTTGTAATGCAGAGTATATGGGAGTGGGACAGTAAATTTGACGTTATTCTCTCTTCTGGCTGCCGTTATCAGTCTCTCACTATTGTTTCCCTTCCTCTGAATGTCTTGATAACACCGCCAAGGAGTTTCTATTTCATTAATTTAGCAAATATAGGATTGTAGAAATGATTGGCTCTTCTCTCACATTTACTCTCACATTTAAGTTAACTCAACTATATCGACTGAGAAACCTGGAGATGTGAAAAGGCTCCATAAGTATGATCTGAGACCTGCTTTGGATGATGTGACTTTTAGCCGTTGATTTTCAGCTTCACTCACCTCTTTGTTGACGAAGCAGTACAGGATGGCCACGAGCAGACCCTACAATCACAGACAACACAAGAACTCATCATGAAGCTCCTCTTTTAGGTAATCAGTGAGAGATTGAGGAGCTCTGAGCACCTGGAAGGAGCTGAACAACAGGTCGTAAAAGAGGCGGATGAGCCGCAGCAGAGACTCTTTGGGCACAGACTCATCAATGACGAAGGTGAAGAGCACGGCGTGAATCCCCAGCAGAGGAATCAGGGTCAGCGTCGACTTCGCCAGCCTGAGGAAAATCATATATCTCAAGGGCAGTTCAGACTGACATGAAAAGATGGACATGTATGTTTATCAAGTCAAGGTGAGCAAATAATTTATCAATTCTTGATTTTAGGCTAAAAGTATTGAGATAATAGAGTGGCCTGCTCAGTTGCCTGACTTCAACCCAATTGAAAACATTAAAACATTCAGCAGCACAACATCTATATGCTCTTTAACCACTGTTAATATCAATAGTGATGTCTGTGCATTGCAAATAATTTCTTTATTTTTGGTTTTAGGCAAAAAGTATTGCTCATAGAGTGTTTGTATACTAGTAAAAGTTTCAGATCCTATTAGTTTTGTAGCAGTTCTGATAATGTTAAAAATTCTTGATTTCAGATTTACAGAAAGATTGTCATACCATGTGTGTTTTGTGGGGGAACATTATTGAATCCTCTGTAAATGGCTTTAGTGCAGTCCTGCACTCACTGAGCACCTTTTCTCTGCTGCTGCTACTGGCCGGGATACAATACTGATCCGGCTAATTTAGCATGTTTTGGGTAGGATTGCTTGTTCATCTTCCAGCAGTCAAGAACATTCATTTCATTTTCCATGGCAGCGGTTTTAATGCAGCGAGTGGCCTCGTCATGTTCCCTGTCAGCTCGCTGGACACTGCTCATAGTGCTCTACCGTAATACGCAGTGTATGAGCGACCGCCAAAATACCTTAATATACCAGCGGCTAGAATGACTGTTCGAATAAAACTGTTGGCTGGCCTGACCGCTGACATAATTCGCTCTTTTTGACATCTCTGTCATCATTTGATTCACCTTTGCAGGGAAGGATTTCAATGTTGTAACAAACCATTTGATTACTTCCTCGCGCTAATCGAAATGCATCACATGACTGTTCATTTACTGCGCAAGCCCAAGCCCGGCACGACCCCGTCTAAAATGATAGAAATAAAGTCCGAACCCAACAAAGATCTTCAGCTCTAGTCTGAACTAGTAACATTGTTAGGTCGAGCTGCAAACAATGCAGGGATTAACCTGGACCCGCTATGACTAGCTGCTGCTTTCCTCCTTTCATGTGATACTCGATGACTTTGAGCCCCATGGTCCCTAAAGAAAAGGTCTTTTTGCAGAATTTACACATTGCCTCTTTGCCACGTCGATAAATTTACTTTCTCCTATCTTTGCATTTTGAACCTCACATCAACAACCGCGTAATGACAGCACGCAGGTGCAGACCGGCATCAGCATCTGTACCCGACCTATCGTAATAAGCTAATAAATCACGGAGACTCTCATTTCTCTCATGTTTCACATACAGAATTAATCAACTATTAAATGTTTTACGGTGGATCACTGTGCTTCCCTATCGTCATTAAGCAGACCGGCTGAAAATTTAATACCTACAGCCACTTTACGGTAAAATTTAAGACAATTTAAGACTTTTTAAGGACCCGCGGGAACCCTGTAGATGGACCATACCTGATAACACTTTCAAACACAGCTTGATAAAATAAGTACATGATTTTCTTATCAACACCATAGAACCATAACCTTCATAGAAAATACAGTCTTTGGTGAAGCTTTTCTCAGATCCAGTTTACATGAGTGTCCCATGTTAGAGACCTGTCTATGTGGATTCCCAAATACTTGTATGACTGTACCTGAGTGATTTCTTGATTATGTACAAACACTGGTAAATGCTCGACAACACACTTGGGATCAAAGATTATTTCCTTTTTTTTGTATTTACTTAAAAAAAATATATATAAATAAATAAAATATTAATACTGCTGTTTGTTTAACAAACTAATTTTAATTTTAATTTGCC